ACTCTCTCAACTTAATCAGCTGACTACAAGGGTAGGTAATGGGTGAGTCCGCGCTTCCCCCTCCTCCTCTGTGTCCACCCCAGCAAACAAATAAAGCTTATCAGCCCTGTAAACCTACCTCTGACAGCTGTCCCACTCGTAGCTGTCACGGGTGGGACATGGTTCACTGTTGAATTATTTTTATCTAACTATGTGGAAACGAAAATGCAATTGTGGAAAAGATTTGCAATGATATTGATAGATTTTTATTTATCAAAATAGATTATTTATTTTGTGAAAAGGAAAATCGTCAAGTATTCGAGGACAAAACTTAGTAATACAATCAATAATTTTAATTATTATTTTTCCCCCGATTTATTGGATACTTAGTAAAAATCCTGTAAATTGATTTGCTAGGGTTTAAAATGGAAACAATTTTTAACTGACTTCCAAAAAAGGAGGAGGTTATCAGTTCGGCGGAATAATTTTCTTTTTTTTATGTATGTTACCGCATAACTTTGGACCACGTCAACCGATTTCGATATTTCTTTTTGCATTGGAAAGGTAGTAATTGAAGTCGGTTTTGTTTTTTGCTTAAAAATTACTTGTAAATTTCGCAATTTGAATATTTTCCGTCAATTGGATTGAAAAAACATTTTCTTATTTCGATTAAAATAGTTTTCTGAACAGCATGGCACCATTTTTCCTGTGTGGAATTTTTCCACCTTAAGTGCTATTTTGACTGTATGTTCTATTTACCGTTTTTTAGTCGGAAGTAATTTTCTGACAAATTCTATTTGTTTTCACGTCACATCAAAAGATGGCAATTTTTCCCGGTTCCCAGGCACATCGTCTTCAATTACTGCCATCTGAATCATAAAAGCAGCAATTGCAATGAGATTCCTATGTAGCTAATCACTTTCTTACTTTGGACTGCAGTATATATGCTTATTATTATTTTTCTCATCTAAATGTTACACCAGCAAAAATAAATTTTACTGGGGGAGGGTAGGGGCCCACAAGCCAAATTTCCCTCGCCGGGCCCGGATTTCCTCTCTACGGCACTGCACAGCTGCATGCACAAAAATTCCATATAAGGTATTAGTGTGATATAAGAATACCTATAAAGCAATAAATTGATGGCAGCTCAAATCTTACTTAGCCTTCTTGCTTGACACATCCTCCGGACAACTCGTTCGGAGTTTACTGCGGAATCTTCATGACTTACACGCATGCAGAAGTGGTAATTGATGATTTTCATTGGCCACATTGTCTACCCACCATTTTTGGTCGAATAAATACTTTTTTTGATATATGCATACAACCTGAGAGGATTCACTAAGTTAACCATTTGCTTAAAATGTTGATTTTCGATATATATTATATTATATAAGTATGATAAAACTTTTTTTATATGGTAGAAATGGGCTCATAAAACTGCATATCCGATTTTTTCCAGGAATTCTGATTAAAAAATTTAAAATTTTGATCAACATTTGATAAAATTTGTCGAATTTTTATAAATCTTACACAAAGTTTGAAACTTTCGGTTAATTGGCTTTCGTTGAATTATGAACTATATTTTTGCAAAGGAAGTATATAAATAATAAGTAAAGATATATATAATTGTGGAATCTTTTAAAGAAGTCGTTAAACTACTTCAAACTACCTACACGTGTATCTTGAAAGAATATTCACGGATCACATGACTTGATCAAAAAATCTTCTTGAGATGCAATTTTTTTAAAGAAATCAAATATAGAGAGATTTTTCTCAACAAAAATCACTCGTAAATTCAAGCTCAACTTCCACCTAAGTAAAATGCAACTTTTGCAGCGAAACTTAAATAAAATAGCTCGAAATACTTAACACAATAAAAATAAAATAAACTAAATGCAACAACTGCTGACAAAAGTAAACACTTGGCTGACCGCCACTAACTCTACCAGCAACACAGCTTTCATATTGTGTTCTTCTAACTTTATCTGCCATGTTGTTTGCGAACTTTAAAAAATTTGCTGACTCATTCTAATATCTGGTCGAGCAAACACTTTTAATGTACTTGTTATTGCTTTTGTTGCTGGCGCCTTGCACTGACAGTGATGGAGTGTCGAGGCAGAGCTAAGTTCAAACATTTCTGCGATTTTTAGAGAGGTTTTTTGTAAGTGTGTGTTACTATTGTTTGATTAAAACTTCTCGTCACGGCAACTGATTTGAAATGACCAGAATAATTAGAGAATTTGCGAATAATAAACTACTGACTGTTAAAAACTAAGGTGGACCCTCAGCTCGATGGCGAACCAGATACTGCAAGCCTTCATCGTGTTCTCCTTCTTATTTGGCGTTATAACCGCCTAAGCGATTTTGGCCGACCTCAACAAAGCAAGCCAGTCGTTCCTCTTCTGTGCCAACTGACGCCAATTGGAAATGCCAAGTGAAGCCAAGTCATTCTCCACTTGGTCTTTCCATCGCAGTGGAGGCTCCCTATTCCTGTGCTACCACTAGCGGGTTCCGAGTTGAATACTTTCAGAGCTGGAGCGTCGGAGTCCATTCGAACTACATGGCCAAGCCAGCGGCGCCGCTGTACTTTATTTCGCTGCATTTTGTCCTTGGCGTTGTAAAACTCCTACAGCGCATCGTTCCATCGTCTGCTGGACTCAAAGAGCCGCCTCATCGGATGTTGTCATTGTCCATTCTTCTGCACCATATACCAACCCGGGCATGATGAATAACTTATTAACCACTGGGCTACGGAAATTGGACTGATACATAGCTAATGCGGACAGATCCGAATGTAAAGAAGAGCTGGGCCAGAATATCTGAGATATATCGGATAAATCCAAACATTATTATCTGATACACTGATAGGTGATACCTCGTTGACTGATACCGGGATAGGTGTAGTTAGAGGTTGATATACTTGCAACCTATGGGAAAGCATATGACCATTTTGCAGGCTAAAACGTACGTTATAGAAAGATGCGTGGACTTTAATCAGAACATTTCGATCTTTACTGGCAGTCAAGCGGCTATTAAGGCTTTCAATGGAGTTTGGTTTCTCTGGATTTCAGGACATATTATTATTCAAAGAAAACAATATTGCAGAAAAATTTACAAAGAAAGGAGCATCTACCCCTTTCATCGGCCCAGAGCCCTTGTGTGGCATGGGAAAAGGGGCGCTCTCGTCCCTGGAATGGATGAAGGAAGAAGCTCAAAGAAATCGCTACTGGGACAATTTACTAGGTCAATAATAACTTAAGAATTATTGCAAGACATCTGATAAGACACTGCAGGCTGAACTATTACCTCACTAATCTGTGAATTCGTTCGCAGGAGCGATGCAGATTTTACAGAATGGATATCGAAACTGCAAAGCAGATCTTGGAAAGTTATCCTATACTGATGCACAAACGGAAAATGCACCTGTTTTAACATTTAATAATCGAGAGTATTGCGAAATTAACTGATTTAATAGACACACTATAAATCCATTAAGGGTTCGAAATAAACCTTAATGTCGCAGTACTTTATCCCCAAAAATAATAATAATAATGCGGGGATGAGACTGACTTAGTACTATTCACTCGGATACACAAGATTCCTGTCTGGAATACCCGGAATTATGGGAGACTACTTTACAACCAAAGCTAAGCTAACAAAGTACTTTCAAATCATGCCGGACAGAAAAATGTCGGCGACGCTTAATCTGGAGGAGCGAATAAAGCAGAAAGGTAGGTCGGAAGACTTGAGGAGCTAGTCATCTCTAGACTTCTTACTTGAGACGGACTTACAGCATATCAAACAATCGTACGATCTGCTCATGTACCACTAGACAGACTGTGTGGTATACACGTGCACTGGGCATACATGGGTTACATGGACTATGTATAGATCGTAGGATAGGAAACCTGCTGATTTATTGTTATCAATAAGAAGAACACTCTTCTAGCAGCGCATGCATTCAAACTGCAGAGGCCTAATTAAAGACACAAAGTATAGGGAGCACAAATGTTATAAGGGAACCTATTTGTGAGAGTCCAGACAAAGATTCGATCAGCTACAGGACCTACAATCAGCAATCGACAAAGGGACTGCAATTTTCTTTAACAGGCTAATGAGCAACGGTTCACTGGTTGTTAGTGTATTTGGTAATACTGCAACCTTCCTTCTCTGGCTTAGTGAGCCCTTGACTGAATAGTCAACATATTTAGTCTCAGAGCCAAAAAAAAAATCATCTATTTATATACTCGTATATAGGTATATTGTGTGGTCCATATAGTGTGTTTTTTTTAGTCCTACTATTTTGACAGTTACAGCTCTTTCCAGCTTGAACAACGTGCAAATGAAGTGCGCAACGAATTTGCTCGAAAAATCGTATTTTCTGATGAAGCGCATTTTCATCTCGGCGTCTATGTTAACACGAAAAACTGCTGCTGCTGAGGATCGGAAAACCCGCACGTCATCGTCGGGAAGCCAATGCATCCTCAGGTAGTGATAATTCGGTGCGGTGGCAATATTTGCCCATTTTTCTTGGAAACTACTGCTGGAAACACCATTTCGATCAACGGTCAGCGCTACAGAGACATGCTAAACGATTTTTGTGGCCGAAAATTGAAAACATGGACTTGGATGTTACCTTTTTTTTTAGCAGGATGGCGCGCCATGCCACACAGCCCAATGCTCAATCGATCTGTTGCACGCCAAGTTCGCTAATTTTGTTTTCAGCCGTCTGGACGATGTTAGCCTATTTTGCAGGGCGCCGTGAAGCACCCTACGAACAGTCCATTAACAATTCAGACCCTTACGGCGAATATCAAGCTAGCCATTCGTGAGATAGAGCCGGAAATCGTAGACAAGATTTTAGAAAACAGGGCTAAAAGGATGCGCTACTGCGGGGCCATGAATAAAGTTATATTCCATAAATAATAGGAATGTTTACTCTTTCGAATATACCGATAATATTTGTGCTGAAAACAATTTTTAT